GAGCAACAGCGGTTCGAGTCCAGCCCGAGCTGAGCAGCCGCGGAGCTGCCAATAGGTAGCAGGATGGCTCAGCTTAAAAAAAAAAAAAAAAGTGAAAGTTCTCAACTTAATAAGAAAAAAATTATATGCTGATGTTGCTAAGATCGACAGTAACAATGAATCTTCTATCCATGAAATTGTGAAGGAAAAAGAAATTAGAGCTAATTTTACCATCATACCTCAAACTGCAAAACTTATGGCCACAGTACATGATAAGTACTTAGTTCAGATGGAAAAGGCATTCAATTTGAGGGTGGAAGGCATGAACAGAAAATGTGTTCTGACTGACAGCATTGTGTTGTGCCAAGAAGCACTGACCTATAGGGAGACTTCAGCAAGTGGTCCCCTGAAATGAGTGACACCAAGCCATTTACTGCAAGTAAGGGATGGTTACACACATTCAGGAATAGGTTTGGACTGAAAATATAGCAATGACTGAAGAGGCCGCATCTGCTGATGAAGGAGCTGCTGCCACATTTCCGGCAGAGCTGAGGAAGCTGATTAGGGTTCGGCACCATCCAAGGTTTCAGGCATCCAGTGGGGCTCTTGGAACTTATCCCTCACGAGTAAGGGGGGGGGGGACTGTACCATAAAATTCACTGATTTAAAGTGTACCATTCAATGGTTCCTAGCATACTCACAGAGTTGTGCGACCATCACCACAATCAATTGTAGAATGTTTTCATCACCCCAAGAAGAAACCCCGTGCCCTTTCGCTATCATCTCCCAATTCTTTCTCCCCTTCCCCCTGCCCTAGGCAACTACCAATCTACTTTCTGTCTATAAATTTGTCTGTTCTGGACATTTCACATAAAGGAAACATACAATACGTGCTTTTTTTTGTGACTGGCTTCATTCAGTTAATATAATGTTTTAAGGTTCATCCATGCTTAATTAATTTCATTAATTCATTATTTTTTTATGGCCAAAGAACATTCCATTGTATGTATATACCACGTTTTGTTTAGCCATTCATCCGCTGATGGGACATTTGTGTTGTTTCCACCTTTTAGCTATTATGGACACTCATTTACAAGTTTTTGTGTGGACACAGTTTTCATTTCTCTTGTGTATATAACTAGGAGTGTAACTGCTCAAGTGGTATCGATGTGTATCTTTTCAAGGAACTGCCAGACTGCTTTCCAAAGCAGTGTACAATCCTGCATTCCTGTGTAGCCCCCTTTTCACAGATAAGAAACTGAAGCCCAGGGGGAGTTAAGTAATTTGACAAAGTTCACACAGCTGAGAAGCAGGGAATGGGGTGGTGCGTCCAGGCGCTTCGTCTCCAGAGCCCTAGCTTTTAGTGGCTCTGCTCGGCTGAGGGAGCCAAGAGAGACACTGTGAGTTAATTCTGACCTTCTCACCATTTCTCACCCTTCTGGGTGCCTAAGTGTCTACCCCCCTTTTCATGAGGCCCCTCTCTGGAGTTGGAATCCAAAAATTAATGGAGATGTGAACAACAAGGAATCACAAAGGAGAAATAAAAGTATAAAAAATGTTTTGATGAAGAAATACTAAAGACCCTGAGATTCTTTTAAAGAGCAAGCAAAGGTGCATACTGACCGCGGTCAAATACATAAAAGGTTCATGTGATAACAGCTCATATGTGGGCCATTCTTTACCTCCTTGAACTAGAGGAAATGAGATTTCATCTATAGAATGATAAGTAAACATAAAGATTGCCTCATCATTATGAGACACGGGGACTCTATAAGGACCCTTTGGGAACCCTCCAGGAATTTATTATTATGACTGAAATCAAGTCCTAGATAGGAAGCAGGAAGATGGACAGAGAAATCAGCAGTCTTGTGGCTCTAGCACTTTAGAGATTTTGTGCAAACCCACATGATATACTCTTGGGCTCACAGACTCAAAGTACTTTCACCAGGATTAACTTACCCTGAACAGCAGACAGGTATACAAAGGCGTCTTCATGCTCCAAGTTCTCCAAAAATACCTGGAATCACAAAATACAGTAGTGATTTGACTCACAAAGAGCAAGCAAAATTAAGACCCCTATATCAGCCTCAGAAGAATAACTGCTTTCCTTCTTGTTTGTCTTAGCTAGACATTGGTCTGACTTTGAGGTCTTGCGGGGAAAACAGTTTGAAGTCCCATTTTTATAATAGTTTTTTAAAAAGGATGGTGATTAAGAGGAGATATTTCTTGAAGTAGTCAAGTATACACCAGGAGTAGGCATGGAAACCAAAATCTGGAAGAAGGATCCCCAACATTTTCCCCATTACAGCCCCTGGTGGACACCATTTTCACATATGACATGTCACACTGACCAGAGGCCGTGGCACACACAAGGCCAGGTTTGGGGTTATGTCCAATCAATGGCACATCACTGTAACTTGATCCTTTTCTCTAGCACTCAGAAAGCATATGGAAATGCAGGTGAGAGACAGAGGTGTTATTATTTGGACAACTTCAAATCTAATTTATTTTTGAAAATCTTTTGCAAATTTCAGCACTTAAGTTGACATTAGTAACAAATTAATCTCAACACATGTCACAATTTAGGAGCTCATCAGGGCCTGTCAACTGCTGTGACATATTAGGTTTAGGCCTTAACATGAGGGCCATATGCCCATGTTCCTCCTGCCTGGTGTCTCAGGAAAGACGGGAGTGTCTGTTCCATATGCAGTGACGCATCCTGCGCTGGCACAGCAATTCTGGATACCAGCTTGACGCTGCTGGTCTCCACATGTGCAGCATGTTGGGGAGAGCCTAAGATTAGTTCATCTGGGAAGATGGCCAGGTTGGAAGGGGTGGGGATCATGTGTGGAGTAAAGGAAGCTTAATCCTGGGTAGTGGCTGTGGGAATAAAGAGGAAGACATAGATACGAAAGAATTCTTGGGAAAAGAATTAACAGCCACTTCATAGTCGATGTAGAGGCCTGACCACCGCATTGTATTTCTGAAGCTGATGTTGAANGGAATTGTAATAGATAAGCATGATATCGGGGGTGGGAGGGCAATAGATGGGGGGAGGGGGGTTGTTACCTGGTGAGGGTGAAAAGGGTAACTATTGTATTGTTCTGTACACCTGAAACTAACAGTAAAAAATAAAAATAAAGAATTAACAGGACTTGATGACCAATTATGTACAGCAATTGAAGGTTAAGTAAGTTAAAGAAAATTTCAAAGATGGGAGGGCAATAGATGGGGGGAGGGGGGTTGTTACTTTGTGAGGGTGAAAAGGGTAACTATTGCATTGTTCTGTACACCTGAAACTAACAGTAAAAAATAAAAAAAAAGAATTAACAGGACTTGATGACCAATTATGTACAGCAATTGAAGGTTAAGTAAGTTAAAGAAAATTTCAAAGATGTTCATTGCATTCACCATCTAAACAGGTGTATGAAGGGATAATTTTAATGATTACTCAAAGGAGATATGTAATTTGACGTTTTCAGCCAACATTTCAATGACAGCAAATCCTTGGCACATTTCCATGCCTCAGTTTTCTCATCTATAAAGTAGGGATAATACTAATATTGCAGTTGTTGTGAGGACTACAGACAATGTCTGAAAGGTATAGGGCTTGGATCAATAAACAGCAGTTATTGTTATACTGTTGGTTCTAATACTTTAGTGACTAAAAATAAATGTATTCAATCAGAATTATAATTCTTAGTACAGGGGCTAAACTATATGGAAGAGATAATAATAATAACAGCAGCTAACCTTTATTCGTTGCTTATTGTGTGCCTGTCACTATAATTAGTGCTTTACATAGACAATTTTATTTTATATCTTTCAACATAACGTAGGCCCTATTATTATTACCCTCACTTGACAAATGTAGAAACGGAGGCTCAGGAAGTTTAAGTGACTTGTCCAAGAAACTGATCTGGAATTTGATCAGTAGTCTCTAGATTCTTCGCTCTTAATTTCTAGCCCATACTGAGGGCAGGACAATTTCCACAGTTGGGAAAAATCCCCAACTAAGCACATATATTCTCCCACATAAATCTACAATGTAAAAAAACAGCTTTTTCACTGTGATGGAGGAAGACGAGGGGAGGGGACCCAGCTCTGCCCAAGGTCCCTCTAAAAGCCCCAGAGAAATCAGGCGGCTTATCTCGGCTGGGTCACAGTGTTGAAAGTAGACCTATTCACCAGAAAGGACTTTCCCATCTCTGGGAATTTGCTCGTGCTGCTCCATCCCCTCTTTTTGCCTCTGCTCAAACTTGACTCGTTTGTTACAGCAATATCAAGACCTCTCCAGATTTCAACTCTCCTCTTCCTGACTGTCCACAGCATTTCTTGCCTGTAAAAATTCTGGTATTCTGTTCATGCTCCACTGAGCCTGTGGGTTGTCTAGGTCTTTCCTGTGTCTCAGGCTTGCCTCCTCAGAACAGTTACAATTTCCCGGAAGGGAGTCCAGGACAGTGCTTAACCAGTCAGGGCTCCTGGGGTAGGTGTGTGTAGGTGTGTCCCCTGCACAGGTGTGTACTTCTGGTGTGTTCTACTCACCTTGAGAAGTTTCTCTTGTATCTCAAGGACTCTTGCTTCTCTCTGCTCTATCCAGTGAGACAGGGTTCGCAGGGCGGCAGCCCGTGTTGGAATCTCAGGGTCATAAGCGGATAAGAGGACTTCCTGGAGCTGTTCTGTGGTTACGCTTCCCCGTTTCTGGTTTGTAGTAGTGCCGGGCTTGCTGATGCCCTGAGGAATGAATGGAGCATCAGATTTCAGGCCTGTTTGGCTGGATTTCTCATGGCTCTGCTGTTGTCCGAGGCGGCTCTGAGACACATCAGTGTCTCTCTCGAGGCTGGTTTGCTGCTGCTTCTCTATTTTCCCTTCTGGATCCTTTTTGTTCAGGGTACTCTGGGCAGCCATGCTGACGGCCTCTGTGGAAAAGGCTCCGTGGGTGGAAACGGTGATGCGGAGGTCAACAGCGAGCTCTTGGATGACAGGGTCAGGGTGCGTGCTGGAGATCTTCTCCAACAGAGGCAGCAACTGCTTCAAGACAGCAAAGTCACTTGACTTCAACTACAAAATGAAATGAAAAATGCCAAACCCAAATGAACAAAGCAGATGGTAATACGACCTGAGCATAAGGCAACAAATCCCGAGCAAAATGGGCAGGGAGCAAATTTTGTTCCTGGTAATGAGCAAATAGCATAAGGCTGTTGCTATCATGCTACTACAGTAACTGTTGCTGAATAATTACAAAAACAAACAAAAAAAATATTGAATACTTACCATGTACAGGTACTTTTTTTTAAGTTAAAAATTACATCAGTAATGCATATTATTAATCTCAATTTGTATAATCTGATAAGCAGAACACGATATCTTATGGTTTTACTTTGCATTAGCCAGACTAACAGCGCCATTAAGCCTCTTTCCACGTTTACTGGCTGTCTGCATCTCTTTTTCTGTGAACAACCTGTGTACATCCTTGGTACCCACTTACCCATTAAACTGTCTCCACAGCTATTCTTACTATATCAGATTTGAACACCCACTCACATGGTGAAATTCTTTTCCAGATTATTCCATTTTGACCATTATTATATCTTTTTTATTGTATTTTTTACTTTTATGTACCTTTTGCGATAAAAAGATGAGTTCATATTAGCAAAGTACTTAGTGCCTGACACATAGTAAGTACTATGTAAATATTTTTAAAATACAATAAACAAAAAAATACACATACATATTCATATCCCTATGATCTAGTTACTATTATTATCTACATTTTAAATAGGAAAACTGAGGCACAGAAGTAATATGTCCAAGATCACACAACTGAAAGATGGTAAGATGTGAACTCAACAAGTCTGGCTCCAGAGTCCACACTCTTACCCAATACCCTACATGGTCACACTTAAACAAATAAAGCCGCTCTTAACTATATGATCTAAGGTGGCTGGTCAGCACACAAGGGCACCATAGGTCTGGAAAGGAATTGAACAATAATTGGCAAAAAGGAATTTTCTCACAGAAAGTGGGAGTGAAAATTACATGAAATTTTATTCTCTCCAGAAGCTCTGTGCTAATAATGTCATAGGCCTTACAAGGACAGGTGTGTGTGCAGTCAGTGGAGAGACAAGAATCAGTGATGACCCTTTTCTGTTTGAAAATACTGGAAAAAGGATTCTATGAGGCTTCATGAGGCCCTGATAATTTGCAAACCTTGAGGGTCTTAGATCCTTCTGAACAAGGCAGAGTATTTATTACTTACTCATTCACTCATTTCATTATCCAACCAACCAACCAGCCAATGAACCAACTAACTGTTTTCGTAGGACCTATATAATGTTCTCATTTTACACTATCTGTAATCCACAGAACTGTTATTGTTCATTTCCTCCACCATTTTCCTCCCAAGTAAATGAAAACTTGAGGTACATGACAGGTCTGTACCTGTAGAATTTCACAATACACTCCCCTCAGATTTCTTTGTTTAAACATTAGAAACTAATGCAAAATTGACCTAAGGAAGAACTTCTTGTTCCACAACATATGTCAGCTTATCTTCATGTGTAAAACAACTGATCATTCTGATGTTATTATATTTTAAGGGGAGATGAGAATATATATGTCTACAGTAAAGGTATATGTTACTTAAGAAAAGGGTCAATTTTATCAGTAATCTATGTGAAACTGGAAAAGACATTTTAGAATAATTTTGCTAGTGTTATCATTATGTTACACTCCACTCAGTGCCTCTGCAGTATGATGGACCTTGGTTTTTTCTTTAAGCATCTGAAATGGAAATATTTACTTATATCTACAGTATATAGTCTCTTTTTCATTTGTTATCTACAACAATTTCTTCTAAAAAAACCAAAAAAAACCCAACCAAGACAAAGAGACTAATGCATCAGAATATAGAGCCCAGAAATAGACTTACTAAATATAGTCAACTGATCTTTGACAGAGGCATTACAATGGAGAAAAGACAGACTTTTTAACAAATGGTGCTGGAACAACTGGATATTCACATGCAAAAAAAAAAAATGAATTTAGACACAGATCTTACACCATTACAAAAATTTACTTAAAATGGATTACAAACCTAAATGTAAAATTATAAAGTTCCTACAAGATAACATAGTAGAAAAATCTTGATGCCCATGGGTACGGTGATGACTTTTTGATAAAATACCAAAGAAAAGTAACCCATAAAAGAAATAATTGATAAGCTGGACCTCATTAAAATTTTAAAAACTTCTGTTCTGCAAAAGACAAAGTTAAGAGAAAGAGAAGACAAGACACAGACCAGGAGAAAATATTTACAAAAGACACATCTGATAAAGGACAGTTATCTAAAATAGTCAAAGAATTTTTAAAACTCAACAATAAGGAAACAACCTGATTAAAAACCGGGCAAAAGACTTGAACAGATACCACACCAAAGAAGATACAGATATACAGCATATGAAGAAATGCTCAACAGTCTATGCCATCAAGGAATTGCAAACTAAAACAACAAAGAGATGCCACCACTACACACACCTACTAGAACAACTAAAATCCAAAACACTGGCGATATTAAATGCTGGTGAAAGGAACTCTCATACATTGATGGTGGGAATACAAAATGGTACAGCCACTTTTACAAGATAGTTAGCAGTCCCTTATAAAACTAGACATACTCTTGCCATACATTCCAGCAACCATGCTCCCTGTTATTTACCCAAATGAGTTGAAAACTTACGTCCATACACAAACCTATGCACATATATTTATAGCAGCTTTATTTATAACTGCCAAAACTCGGGAGCAATCAGGATGCCCTTCAGTAGGTGAATGGATAAGTAAATTGTGATACATCTAGACAATGGAATATTATTCAGCATTAAAAAGAAATGAGCTATCAAACCACAAAAGATATGGAGGAACCTTAAATACATATTACTAAGTGAAAGAAGCCAGTCTGGAATGGCTACATAGTATATGATTCCAACTATATAACACTCTGGAAAAAGCAAAACTGGAGACAGTAGAAAGATCAGTGGTTTTTAGGGGGAGGGAAGGATGAACAGGCAGAGCACAGAGGATGTTTAGGGCAGTGAAACTATTACATACGGTAGATACATGTCATTATACATTTGTTAAAACCCATTGAGTGTACAACACCTTGAGTGAACTTTAAGTAAACTCTGGGCTTTGGATGATAATGATGTGTCAATGCAGGTTCATCGACTGTAACAAACATACCACACTGTTACAGGATGCTGATTGACAGCATGTGTGGGGGCAGGTATATGGGAAACGTCTGTGCCTCCTGCTCAATTTTTCTGTGCACCTAAAACTGCTCTAAAAATAAAGTCTATTAAAAAACAAAACATCTTTTCTCCCTGTTTTCAAATTTCTTTGTCACTGGGCGATTCATTTTATTAAACTAGGTAACTTCCCTAATCACCATGGGCAGGTAGGTGGATTATGAATCAAATAGTTGATAAGGCAATTAAAGCAATGCATACTTTCAGCTTCAAAAGTCTGCAGATCTCCCACTACTAGAATAGACCAGGAAATCTAAGACTATAGGTGCCAACTATTTGCTCATAAATGTTCAAAAAAATTTTTGAGGCATAAAATAATATTCATTTAATTGGTAGATGAGAAAAAGGAAGCACTAAAATGTTAATTATTTTTCAAGGGTCGCCTAGGGCCACCATCAAAATTGAGAACTGACCATAAGGCCCTTATTTCTACTCCTGCCACTGTTTCTCAGCACAGGTCTCAGAATGCTGTGTAAGGACTTGGAGACCTGAAGGAGCAGCCCCCAGTGAGTGACAGATTCCTTTATCTGGCAGCCTCTCTTCCAGAGTTTCTAGAATGCTTTAGGGATGGAATGAGCAGAGCTATGTCAGCCCCCATCTATGATTTCTTTCAGGGTGTCAGGAGTGAACCAGTTAGAAGGTGACTTGTTCTAAATTTTTGCAAGTTTTCCATTTTAGAACTGAAGGTTGGACTGGTGGGGCCAGGATTGAGGGTGGTGGGAAGGTGCTGCTAAGGGAAGCATGAGAACCGACATGACAGCCAGAGGAGGGCAGTGCACCCTGAAAAAGCCCCATCTGAGACTTTACAAAGCTCCCCTATGAAGCAGGCATAACCCTCATCCTGCCTTATCACGCTCTAGTGAGAATCCCTATTTTGGAAGAATCTAAGGGTCTCTTCCAGCAATAAAATTCTGACCTAAAAGTCCCTAACTCTGAAAAATACATTTATTCTTTGTGTTCTCATTTCTGTGTATCACCTATGTTTCTTCAGATGTTTAGCTGACCACTTTACATGTCTGGATCCTTATTTACATAATGTCACTGAATTTATTTACCAGTGGTATTTTTACTTTTGTTCTAAGTCAGCACGCAATATGACTTTACGAGCTATACAGAAAGACAGACATAAGACATAAAAATAAAAATCTTTCAAAAAATGTATTAAGAATTCATCAGATTAATCACAGCCACTAGAAGGTAAGCTCCATGAGGGCAAAGAGGCACTTGATAAATATCTCTTCGATGAGTTCATTCTACAATACTCTCATAAAACGTGGCATGAGAGTTCAAGTCCCAGCCCTACCACCTGCACCTCAAAGCTCAGGTCACTCTGTGCAGCTGAGCTTCAGAGGACCTGACAGGTCCAGGAACATGAGGCAGAAACAGCTTCCTGAGGGGACAGGGAAGTTACCAACATCTTATTTCTTTTACTGATGAGTAACTCTGAAATTTAGAAAATGAGTTTGGAATTACAGATGTCTTGTTAGAAGTGGTAAGCCTACACTTTCTCCAAATTAACTGCTTTTCCCAGACACTTTGCTCTAATAATCACCTTAATTACATAAATTAGAAAGGAAAGAAAGGTTCAAATGCTATTAGATTCTGTTTCATTAGATAAAACAATGAGTCGTAATTGGGAATAGATACAGAATAATTCTTCTAGACTCTGAAGCAAAAAAACCCTAAGCTTGACAATGATTATCTGAAAACATAGTTCAGAATAGTGACTTTTTTCCCAATACAAAGACAGAAAACCCAGCATTACTCTAGAAGCCACTTATAAATCCATAAGTCAAACAGAAAAAATAAGTAATAAATTTAGGGCAAAAGTATAGAATGACGCGTTTACTCATATGTTCACTTAAGTAACTGCAAAGTCAGAGTTCGGGGTACAATAAGTGAGTCAGGATGGCTCATGGAAGGGCAGGGACAGGTAAAGGATGTATATTTGCATAACACAGGTGAGTCACTCTTAGAACATGACAATTTATACTGCCAGCCCCTCAACAATGGGCTTCTAGGAAGTGAACTAGAGATTTTCGTGTTCTATTTTCCATTTGGGATGGGGTTTACAATGATAAGTGTCAAATTACGGAAAAGAAAAGCAAAAAATAAAATAAAATAAAAAATCACATTCTCAACTTATGTAACAAAGACTATTCAAATAAATACTCAACAACAAAATCAATCAGGTGAACTAAATCCAATAACAATACAATTTCACAAAAAGTATTGCATTAGTGAATCCCTCCTTGATAGTTCTAACAGCAAGGATATAACAAAACTCTAGAAACTGAACTAAAAATGTTTTTCTCAAACTACATGGTAAATATAAAATTAGAAATACTAAGTAAATTTACCAAGAAATGGGCTTCATGTTAACAACAGGCCCAAATACAATTCTTTTTTTCCCTTACAGACAGGCTAAAGAGAGGCAAATTCTAACATATCAAGAATCAGTATCAGATTTGAATCCTCAAACTCAAAAATCCATTGCCAGAGGGTTCTCTGCTCATTGCTAAGAGTTATGGCCAGTATGATTTCTTAATTTTAGATTTCTTAATATTTGCACTAAGCCCATTCTGTGTTCTTTCAGTCTCCTGACCTACTGTGCTATGTAATTAACTACTCTCACACATGTGCCTACTTTTCCTCCTTGTTTGGCACTACTTTGACCCCGGGTACCTACATTTCAGCTATACCAGCCTTCAGTCAGTGTCTCAAGTATTCCAAGCTCTTTCCTGCTTCCCAGCCTTTGTACAGGGTGTTTTCTTTATTTGGAAGAGTTTCCTTCATCCACACTACACACTCCCAAACTCCTATCCATAATTCAAGTCTTAGCTTAAGCTGACACTTCCTCCATGGAGACCTCCCCAGCCTAGTTTGGATGCTATGTTCTCTTGGTACCCTCCACTTGGCTTCTGAGGCACTTCATTCAATTCCAAGTATGTTTTCTGAATAGTTATTGGGTATCTGACCCCCTTCCTGGACTGTAAGTTTCATGAGGGTAGAGACCATGTCTGCTTTGTCCACTGCTATATTTCCAGCACCTTAGCTCAGTATCTGGCACACAGCAAGCATATAATAAGTATTTTTTGAGTGAAGAAATTAAAAGATTATAAATTAAGTATGTAGAAGATCCATACACTGGAAACAAAGCTTTAACTTGCTACATGATAGAGGTGGAACAATAGATCCTGTGCTAAAATGGACCTATGCAAAACAGATGGAATCCTAAGTAGCCAGCAGGTTACAAAGGTTTTCCCCTGACGACAATAGTAGGGACCAGCTTTGGAGAGCCTTTACAGTGAAGGTCAGAGAATTCAGTCTTTTCCATGGATGCAAAACACTGTGCCAGGTGTTTCCAAATCAAGCTGATGCCAGGTCAGGAAGGGCTCTCCCCTTCTGATGGTGAAGTCTATGCAGGTGACCAGGTGGAAGTGGCACAATTTTCTTGTCCTCTACTTTGGAGACAATTCTCATTAACAATCTGACTTGTTTATCTTGGTTTTCCTTTATGCAAATGCAATATCCATTCTTATTTCTCACAAGGGTATGGAAGGGAAGCAAGAGATTTTTCTCTTCTCTTTTCTCCTTCTTTTCTCCCTCCCTCCATTCAGGTTTGGGTCATATCTGTGACTTACCTGAACAGCTCCTCCCAGCATGACAGCCACCAGCCCCATGGACATGCTCAGTGTCTGTGACTCCACCGTGCTCTCTGCCTGGTGGACCAAGCTTGCACATGCTCGCTGCAGGGTTGCTGCTACAAAGTCCACCACCTACCACAGAAATGGGATTCAGACTCATGAGGAGTAAGAAAAAAAAATCTCAACATTCCCCTACATCTTACCTCTCCAAACCCTTATCGACCTCCACATCAACATCATGATAGCAAGAACATTCAAGAACGACTGATGCTGTGTCGCAGGCATGGCGCTTAGTGTTTTATATGCACAATCTCACTGAGGTCTCATATTAACTCTAGGAGGTTGGTACTCTTCCCATTTTGAGATGAAAAGTCTGAGTCTTAAAGAGGTTATCTGCTCAAGGTCATGCCGTCAAGTAAGTGAGAAAGCCCATTTATACTTTCCCAAAGGTTTTAACACACTAATCCAACTTCCTTCACTTACATGAATTTTGCCAGGAAATTAAAATTAAAAATGATGTGTTACTTTCTGACCATCTTAGAGGGTCCTAGATCAGCTTCTCCTAATGAGATTTCCTCCTCAAGGATTCCTTCCCCCAACCCTGCCGTTTTGACAGTCTAATTCCAGTAAGCAAAGAACTGGAAGAAGCATCCAATTTTATCTAGAAGCCAGTGTCCTCAAACAATCTGTACAAATGATCCAGTCATTTTTCTAAGCATCAAATATTTTTAAAGGATTAAGATTATTCATACATAAGATTTTTACACAGCATTTGGCTAACAACTAAGCCTTATGTGGAATCAATTTGGTCAGCATCATTTTTTTAACTGCTTGTGGATTAATCACCTTAAGTAGAAATACCTTTGAATAAAAGATAGCCTATGCATGTGCATGCACACACATATACACATGTACACAGACAGACAGACACACACACACACACACACACATTTTGGATTAATGGGTCAAAAGGGAAAAATAATTTTTAAAATGGGACAGCTGAGATAGGTCATAATAAGCCTCTAAAAACCATGCAAGCTTGCGTGTTCAACTCTGGACAAATTACATGCTATATTGGAATCTTTATTGCAAGCTTAAAGTAAAAACTTGGCTTGTTAACACTTGTTTTCTGGAGCAAGGCAGGAAGCTATAAAGGTTACTAAAAGTTCTACTTACTAAAATGAACAATGCTGATTATGGCAATTTTCACCACCCTTTCTAGCCTAGGACTTTATTGATACTAGAAGTTAAGGACACTGGTCCTTTCTAGAGAAACTGCTGCATCTACCATCTTGGGTCACCTATTTTTGCCTTCAAGGAGTTTTCTAAAGCACTCCTTGTTTATTGGAAGCTTCTATTTTAGCATCAGTATTGTTAAATTACTGAAATAGAGCCATCTAGCCTTCTTTTTCTAAGTTCCTCTCAACGAGATCTCTCTCTCTCTCTCTCTCTCTCTCTCTCTCTCTCTATATATATATATATATATATATATATATATATATATCACTCCATTTTTGTTAAGAAGGAAACTTTCTATGTCTGTCTATATATAAAAAAAAATCCCTAGGAGCTGTTCACTGGCGTGATAGCCAGCTGTTACCATTATCTATGAAGTACCCTTTCCCCCAAACTTTCTTTTTTTTTTTTTAATATAACTTTATTGGGGAACAGTTTGCTTTTCCAGGACCCATCAGCCCCAAGTCAAGTCGTCTTCAATCTAGTTGTGCAGGGTGCAGCTCACTGGCCTATGTGGGAATCGAACCAGCAACCCTGGTGTTATAAGCCCACGCTCTAACCACCTGAGGCAACAGCCCCCCCCCCCCAAACTTTCTTGTAACAACAAAACCACCACACTCATTTGGACAACAGTGCCTCTCCCTACTACTCATTTCCTGTGATTATGGTGGGGCTGCCAGCCACAAAAATTGGTATGTGACGGAAGCCTGTTCTAGAATTTATGTATGTTGCAGGGAGCGGGGGAGAGACTTTTACTTTTTACTTACATTTTTTTGTAAAGCTGCATAATTTAAAAAGCCAAATATTCCTGGAAGTTTATAATGAAAATACAGCAGTGCCCTATCTCAGTTCTCCCTGTTTGAGTCTGGCTCTACAAAGGCAACCACTTTTCATTATTTAGCAGGTTAATTTAATAATCACATTAAGCATTTACTATTTACCAGGTACCATTCTGACACTTACACGTATTAACTCACTTAATCCTCACAAGAATCCTACGGGGATGTATAAACCTGCGGACAACATTCTGGTAACAGGGAAAGGCGGCTAGAGGCCTCACTGTTGAGTATGTAGGCGTCAACTCAATCCTCCACCTTTTCGGTTTGCTACCACCACCTAAGTCCATACCTTTCTCAAGAATAAACCTCGGGGGTGATCGCTTAGCTCAGTTGGTTGGAACATGGTGCTGATAACACCAGGGTTGCCAGCTGGATCCCTGTATGGACCACTGTGAGCTACGCCCTCCTTAAAAGAATCAACTATGCCATTGTAGCATGAAAGCAATGTGTAACCAATGACCATGGCTGTTCCCCAATAAAAATTAAAGAAAAGAAAAAAAAAAAGAATAAATGTCCAGTCTCTGGCTGGGGAAGGGAGAGGAGGTGATTGCACGAAGCTGAGGAAGGAATCAAGGGGTCTACTGAAGCTAGTAGAGCCTTTCAACCTGTTTTAAGCTCTAAATTCAACTTCAGCTTTAGAGCTTATGTAGGGCCTCCAGTCCTTCCAGGGTTCTGCAGTGAAAAGTAACTTGCTTCTTTTTTTTCTTTTCAAAAAAAATTTTTTAACAGTTTTATTGAAACATAGTGCTTTGCTTTTTGATTTCTCCCATGCAGGCATTTAGCTTTCCATTTCCTGAAGTTGCTAAATCAGCTACTGTTTTCCAGTTTCCAAATGTTGTTGTTCTCTTTTATTTACTGTCTCTCCTTTCCCGCTCTGTTAGTCCTGGCGGTTGCCAGAGGAAGCAGATAAACATACATGTTCAATAATACACCATCTTTAATCAGAAACCCCTAATTTTTAAATTTTGCTCTTCTATGATGTTTAAATGTTTTTACAAGGAACATGTGTTACCACCATACCATGATTACACCCAATAACAATCCCTGTATCTTCTAATACTTGGTCCATGACTGTTCAAAATGCCTTCGTTGTTTCAATCAGGATCCACACACTGCATTTAGTTGATAGTCCCTTTGGTCCCTTTTAAGCAACAACAGCCCTGCTCCCTTTTCATGCCATTTATTTGATGAAGAAACTGGGTCATTTGCTCTGTAGAATTGCCCACATTCTGGATTTGGCCGATTGCTTCGTCACAGCATTAACTTGCTCCTCTGTCCTGAGTTTCCTTGATTCGATTCAGGTTCATGTTTGGAGTTTTTTTTAATTTTAATTTTTTTTTTTTGTAAGAACCCTTTGCAGGCAGTGCTGTATACTTCCTATTGTATTACATCAGGAGGCATATAAGGTATGCTTGTCTACTTATGGTGATGTTAAGATCAATCCGTCCATACTGAAATATTTCGGGGTCATATACTGATATCTGCATTAACCCTGAAATCCATAAAATATGAGATGGTAGACAGATGATAGCATGGATTAGTATGTGATAAAGTAAAAATAACAAAATACTAATAGCAGAATCTAGGTGATGGATATACAGGTATTCACCATAAATTCTTTCAAATTTGAAAGTTTTCATAATAAAATGCTGGGGGAGAAAAGGATCAGTTGGTTCAGGTGTAGTTGGCCTAATTACATTCATTATACAGTACTCATAATGGTTTTAGCAGACATTGATGATTATTACCTAGATCCATTATTTCAGTAGGGGATTGCAAAATGTAATTTTTTAGTTCTCTTTGAATTTTTTTTGTTGTGATTCTTGTATAAAAATTTTTTTTCCTTCATCGACTATTTCATTACATTGAGATATAGTTCCGATGGAAAGGCAAGATAAATGCTTTATTCTTTGCCTTCATTTATCAGTTTACAAAATAATGAGTTGATGCTCTAGCAACCTCCAAAGATGTCCTCCAAGGGATTTTTTTGTGGGAACTCAGATTTTTATAACTTTGATGTGTTTCAATCCATTGCAGGCATTGTTCTTTTTAATGCTCAAAATGTCCTACCTAAAGCCAATGGCAGCCCCTTCAAGTTGGCTCCTGGGTGCTACTGCCATGACTATTAATCTCAGATAGCTTCCTTGTATCAGGGTACAAGTTGCCCTGAGGCCTACAGTGTACAATTCCTACCCAAGACCTCAAATAAACCTTTAATCCAACGGCTTTGTGTTTTTTTAGTAGGAAATGGTATTTAGAAACTATAATTTGGCACAAAGGATGCTGATTGCTACTGGGTTGTCACTGCTTCTTGGCATCGATAGTGGACTAAGCTAGTCCACTATCTATTTTTTAAAAAGAGAAAAATAAATCATGAGTTCATACTCTTCCAACTAAAATTAAATATTATAGGGTTTTCATTCATGTTCTTTAATTGCATAACACTTGTTCTTATACTGAAAATCTTGGTTCCTAATGATATTAACAAAATTACTGTAACATTTATTAATTATAACTTACCCATATATGTGTATAATTTAAAATACCAAAATTATTACTAGCAGTAAGATTACTAAATGCAGTTTAACATTCTTGGTGGTTCTTTTTGTCCTTGATCCATCTGAACTTTAACTGAAGAATAATTTAATAAGACAAATCACTTTTGCATCAGCCTAAAACCATTGTTCCTTAATTAGGACTAAAGGGAGATAAGTGCAAAAGCTCAAGTCATATCAGTTTTTGACCATTTCCCCTTCCAACTAGCATCCTGAGACAAAAACATAATAAGGCCTGCATAAAAAAGTCTTTAGGGAACTGATATAAACACAGGAGAAACAAATAACCCTACTGAGTAACACAGGGTCAGTGAACTGAAGGAATAAGAGGCCAGGAAAGAAATCATGACCATAATTCTCATTAAACAGTCATGGTAAGTCAGAGCTGACAGGCAGCTGCAAATTTTCTCAGCAGGAGCTGTACTGAAATGCTGCTTAGCAACACCGGAAGGCAGATGACAATGAGAAGGATACAAAGAGCTGGAGAATCAGATTTAAGCATGACAATCATGCCACCTCACAGCTGATTATTCACCAACCAAGCAATAACTAATTCTGGTAAAAGGATAAAATATGGCAACTGTACTGCCTATGCATTATTATTTTTATCTATTAAAAAAGAAAACTGGTAAAAAAAATTTCTGAGCCAATAAAATTCAGGCGCTGACTCAAACACTCTACTCTGAAAGCATTTTAAAACATATCTTAAAACTTCACAGGCTGTTGTGGAGATAAGCTGTGAGTTAGAAGACCTGTATAATTGAAGGTGGCTTTATTATTCATTAGTGATTTTTTTTTTTCAAATTTGAGTTTCTAATCATTCTCAGCTTTTGATGAAGATGAGAATCATCCATGGAGCTTTAAAATGATCCTAGACAATTTTATTTTCACCAAAAGTTGAGCACCACTGTGACATAACATGTAATATTTAAAACGGCTCTCAAAGTTTTATATGTTTGAGAATCACCTCAGGAGCTTGTTAAACATGTGGAATCCCAAGTTTGGGTCTGGTGTGAGCGCAATAATTTGCGTGTTTAACCAGAATTCCAGGTAACACCGATACAGGTGTCATCAAACCACACTCTGAGAAACATTTTTTGGAAAGAATATAAAGAAACCAAAATAGACAGCTAGCATCCGGAATGCGACAGCCACTGACCTGAGTGATGTTTGTGAAGATCTGCTCAGACATTCGCTCGCATAGGACAGCCATCAGCTGTAGGACCAGCAGCTTCCGCTCTTGGTCTTCCACCAGAAGAGTCTGGTGCTGCTCTAATTCCAAGAGGCTGTTGCTGGAGTAGGGCTGCGTTTTTAATTCTGCTTCATTTTCCACAGCAACATGAGTCAACTCCTATCAGAATAGGGAAAAAGAAAAAAACCTTCAGAATTAAGACCTTCAAAACCAGCTAGAAAACTATTTGAAATGTGTATTTAAAGCACTAGTCCGTGTTTGCTGTAGCATTACTTATAATACTCCTAGCCAAAACCTGGAAACGAAAATGTCCAACAGTAAGAAAATAATTGTGATGCATTTATTATATTGCACCAGTTGAAATAAATGAACTATATCTATATGGATATCAATATAAAGTGATCTCAAAAACACTGTGGAGTGAAAAATGTACATTGCAGATGAAGGGAACCAGTTTTGCCACCCTGAAGCTACCTTTTTGGAATATTGATTTTAAGCTGGTTATTAAGAAACAAAAGACTCAGAAAGAACCTTTGACCATCCCTTCATTCCTGCCCAAGAGATTCAGATAAAAAAACCTGCTTCAGGACATCCAGTCAACATGGTGGAGTAGGTAAACACTGTGCTCACCTCCTCTCAGGGCCACATCAATTACAACTAAACCACAGAACAACCATAATTGAGAATCACCTGAAGTCTAGCTGAAACAAAGCCCTAAAACTACAGACATGCAGAAGAAGACACTTCTAGACTGGTAGGAGGGGCAGAGGCTCAGAATGGGTGGTCCCACACCTGTGTGTGATAATTAAAAATCTAGAGGGATATCTCAGCTGTGGATGTCCCCACCTTGAGGAGCAAGGGGTCCCAGCTCCTCCCCAGCCCAGGGTTTCAGGGCCAGGGAGAGAAGTCCCCATAACTTCTGGCTGTGAAAACCACCAGAGATTGTGGCTGAGTGAGACGGAGGGTGACTGCTCCTCTTAAAGGGACCATGCACTGACTTACTCAGTGATGGTCTCACTCGCTCTGAGCTCCAACACTGGGGCAGCAGCTCCAAAGGCGCCAGGGATATATGGGGAGAAACTGAATTGTCTAGCTTCAGGATGAGGACTGAAGGGGCAACTTTCTCCGCCTTAAAAAGCTGGTGGAAGGCATTGTTTCTTTGTTGAGCCCTCCCACTCCCTGCATGCAGATGCAGGCAGATGCCATATCTGCAGTCTCCATCAAACTGGCTATCACCTTTTGCCTGTCCTCCCCTAATGATGCCCTGAGACCCCACTCCACCCAACTTGCCAGCATACCCAAGCTGCTTCCAGTGGCTTTCCCTTATAAACGGCCTGTCTTGGCTCCTGCTGTGGACTTTCCTAAAAATCTCTCAAAGGTTCACAAAACCCAAACAAGCACCATCTGGCTTCGGCGTGTGTCCTACCTCTGGCTGAGCAGCCTTAAGCCCAACACTAGTGACAGCTGGCCTTGGTTTGCAGCTTGGCCTCTCAAGGCACCTCTCAAGCCTCTCAAGCGCAGGTGGTGGCCATCTTTGGATTGCTTTGCAGCTCATGCCAGGTGACCTTGGGCAGGGCACAGACTGAGGCTGAACTTGGCCTGCAGCAGGTCCCCTCCCAGGAATCCCTGGGGCTGGCAGGCCCAGCAGCCAGCTTTGGACTGGGCCGTAGCATCACCCAGCCACCTCCAAGGTCAATATACCCAAAGGGCAGACTGGGCAGGCACCAGAGGCCCACTAGAACAAACCCTGCTCTGGAGGGTCAACCACTGCACAACAGCTCCTCCACTGTAGTGACAGTCAGTTCTCACAACCAATTAGCCTGAGGTGTCAATCCCTCCCACTCACTGACATGCAAACAGCAATCAAGTCTTAACTACAACAGGAGGGCACACACAACTCACATAAGGGACACACCTGGAGCACATGACTCTGGTAACCAGGGAGACTGCACCACTGGGTCCCACAGGACACTAACTATATAAGGAAGCATAGCAACCCTACATGGAAACAAACACAGAGAGTCAGCCAAAATGGGTAGACAAAGAAACATGTCCCAAATAAAAGAACAGAACAAAGCTCTAGAAAAAGAACTAAACAAAATGGAGACAAGCAATCTACCAGATGCAGAGTTCCAAACATTAGTTAAAAGGATGCTCAATGATCTCTGGGAGAACTTCAACAAAGAGATAGGAAACATAAAAACAGGGATAGAAAACATAAAAAAGAACCAGTCAGAAATGAAAACTACAATAACTGAAATGAAGAACACATTAGAGGGAATCAACAGATTACATGAAGCAGAGGACTGAATCAGTGATTTAAAAGATAAGGTAGCAGGAAACAGCCAATCAGAAAAGCAAAAAGAAAAAAGAATCCAAAAAAATGAGGAGGGTTTAAGGGG